CGACTTGGCCACGACGGAACGATACAGAGTAGAACTTTCGGTGGCATCCACATCGCAGCTGTGACTGACGCCCGAAGACACTTGGCCAGCAGAGCAGGAAAAATGATCGCGGACGGGATTCGAACTACCGACCTTCCCCAAGATCTCCCAACCATTACGCTTTAACACGCTCGGCTACCAGCTTGCTCCCCCGGGGCCGAGATCTGAGCTCGGTCCTGCCAAACGGGGGACAGAAGGCGACAAAGAAAAAATTTGTCCCGGCCGGGAGTTGATTTAGGGTTGACAATTTTGGTTCGGATGAAGCTGCATGCGGTCATGTCGACTGTTGCTACAACTGTTTAACTACAAAAGGGGCGTGTGGCTGGTGGCGTCGCACATCGTATGTTGCCACATTTGTGACCACATTTTTGTGTCCATGAACAGGGACGTGTCTACTACTACCACTTGTCGCCGCGACACGAGTTGTCGCTTGGACGCCTGTGAGATAGGCCACGGCTTCTCTCTAAGGCGCCTGTCGTGATGGGGACTTTGAGTTTAGGCTCCTTTTGACCCCAGACTCATAAATCCTTTCAAAAGCTAAGAAGTGACGCCCTGTCAATCTAGGTGTGGGTCGATGATTGTCGCTGAAAACGCCTGGAGGGTAGGCACTGCTTTCCTGAATCGGGCCCCCCGCCCCGCGGCTTCCCGCCGATATGGGACAGGCGCAACTTACCGTGTTAATAATTACCGTCGGCTGTCGGCTGTAGCTACAATTGTGTAGCTACAAACAGGGACGTTCCGGCTGGTCCGGCGGCGGCGGAGATGCCGTGTTACAACACGACAGCGGTCACTTATTCGGTTATGAATTCTGTCGTACCTAAGCCCTATGCCGAGCTCACACAGTGAGGCTGACAGGAGGAGCTGATCAGAACATCTCCAACCCCCGCAACGGACGGTCACCTTCGACCAGGCCTCCTCCTGACCAAATCGCAGGAACCGCTGTGGTGGGTTGCCTACCTTGTCCGCTTCTAAGGAACCTCTCAAACGTAAGTCTCACACCATCTTTATGTCTAGACGGTATCACAGAATCAGTGAGTAACTGTTGGCGCAAAAAGAGAAAATGCCTAATTGGATGTAATTTTGACCGATTCAGGGTCTTCCGGATCCATCCAACTAGACAACTTGACACAAATCGGACTGTATCTGGATGGCCTCTCATCAAGGTCCTGTGTCCAGAAAATTCCATCAGGATCACCCTTTTACTTGTCTGGGTGGGATTATAAGGGATGAGGAGAGGGGCGTTAGCAATTATGGCGACGAGCTGACCACCTCATCTTTAACAATGCTTGTCGTTTTTCACCCTGTACAGTAGTGTAGCGCAAGTACTTTTCTGCTATTTTTTTTATTTTAAAGTTTGTCCATTTTTAATAAAATTATCACAGGTACTCTGGCATTAAAAATAACAATAAAACATACACAAACACATGAAGTCCATGAATAACCGCCTGAACAGCCCAATTCAAACTTTCTTCTCCGAAACTATTCATATGGACCTTTATATTAAAAGTCAGTTTGAATGAGAGGGTTCCTCACGATACTAAATCCATACCAAATCCACCTTCAGTGCGGCGCGCCCACCGTGTGTTCACGCTTTATTTTTATTTTCTTTTGTTCTTTCCAGACTCCTTAAATACAGCAGAGCCGCACTGAAACGAGCCTAAATTAACTTACTTCCACGCAGTCAGGGTCACCCTCACTCACACACGCACACACACTCACACACACACGCACAACGCACACATCAAAATGAGCTCGGGGTGCCCAGTCAGCGCCGGTGCACCCGAATGTTGGCGCCGCCGCGCACAGACATGGTGAGGTTGACCATGAGCGGGACGTCCTCGAGGCGCTTGGGGCCGTCGTCGGGCACCTCGAACCGCAGCCGCGGCACGATGGCGGCCGCCACCGTCTTGAGGAACATCATGGCGTACCGCTGGCCGATGCAGTTCCTGGGCCCGGCGCTGAACGGCACGAAGGCGAAGGGGTGGCGGCCGCGCGAGTTGTCCGGGAGGAAGCGGTCCGGGTCGAACTTGTCCGGCTCCGGGAACCACTCGGCGTTGCGGTGAACGTAGGGCAGCCAGAAGGCCACCTGGCAGCCGCGCGGGATGGTGAAGCCGGACGGCAGCGGGAAGTCCTCGGTGACGGTGCGCGCGAACACAGGCACGACGCTGAAGAAGCGCAGCATCTCCTTGATGACCCGCTCCGTGTACTGCATGTGCGCGAGGTCCGAGTGCTGCACGATGCGCTCGCGGTCCTCGCCCAGGATGTCGTCCAACTCCTAGAAACGCAAAGCGAACTTTGAGAGGAAATGGCACGGAAGAACCCCACGGCCCTAACGATTACATGTCCACCAGGACCATCACGCCTTTCGCATGTGGCGAAAAACTCGTCCACATTTTGTACCGGCTGCATGCCATAACCGGTCAGATACGATTTAGTTACGACATACCTTTCTCACTTTCTGTTTGTTAACTCACTTGTCTAACTTTGTCCTGGATGTCTTGGCGGATGGCGAGCGTGTAGATGAGGAAGGTAAGGGCGTCCATCGAGGAGCCCGAGGCTATGGTAACGATGGTCTTAACCTCCTCGGCGAGCTCCGCGTCGCTCAGCGCTGCGCCCTCCTCGGAGGACAGCACGTGGTCCAGAAAGGCCTGCCGCCTCCGCTGGGGGAGGGGCCCGTTCCTCTTCAGCGCCTCCTTCTTCTCGCGGATGATCCTCTGGGTGAACAGGTTGAGGGCGTCCTTCACCTCGACGTAGTCCGGGAACTGGGAGCGGTGCAGCGAGTAGGCCCACTCGCTGAGGAACCAGGGCCGCCACACGCGGTACATGAAGTGGTCGAGGGCCTTGGGGATGGCGCCGAGGAAGGCGCGCTTCATCGGGTCGTCCTCGTCCACGTCGGAGGACATGACGGTCTCGCAGATGGCGTTGTTGGCGCAGGCTCCGCTGAGCGGCGTCACGTCGAACACCTCCCCCTTGTCGGCGAGCTCGGCCAGCGTGTCGGCGAAGGCGGCGCCCTGCTTGGAGAAGATCTGCACGAAGTCGCGCAGGATGTCGAGGTGCAGGCTGGGCGTGATGGCCTTGCGGTGCCGGCGCCACACGTCCCCGCCCAGGATGGCGAGCCCGGTGCCCATGAGCGGCTCGAGGGCGCCGTACACCGCCGACTTGTCCGACGTCTTGCCGCTGGTCATGACGGCCTCCATGTCGTCCGGGTGCAGGACGACGGTGAAGGTGACGTGCGCCAGCGCCATGCGGAACAGTGGTCCGTACGTGGACGTGAGCGACTGCAGGCGGTCGTAGACCTCCTCCAGGCTGCAGGCCATCTCGAGCGCGCTGCCGATCACGGGGTACATGGGCGGCCCGGGCAGCTTGGCCGTCATGCGGCGGACGCGCCTGAACTCGGACACGGCGCGCGAGAAGCGGATCAGGAGGGCGGCCACCGCGAGGCCGGCGGCCGCCAGCAGCAAGAGGAGGACGACGCCGATCATCTCCTGGAGGAGCGAGCTGTGGTACTGGGGCGGGCTCGGCGCGAGCGCGGTGGCCTGCACGCCGAGCTCGGAGCCCTCCAGAAGGGGGGAGCCCCCACCACCCCGAGGGCAGGGCGCCGACAAGTGTGCCGTCCCTCCCCCTCCCTCACGGTGGCTGTCTGCTGATCCTGACGATCCTGACACGGGTACCCTACGGAGTGCCAACCTAGGTCTGGCCGAGCTCGCCA